CCCCAAAACCCCAAAACCCCATAAGCATTATAAGGGATATAATTAGTATGAATATTAATATATTCAAAATTAATTTAATTTCAATGGGAGGCTGTCACAGCAAAGCAGAGATAGTCCAGTCTCAAAGACCATTAACTAAAATAAAAATATCCCCATCGACAAGCAAGAGCAAATTTGACGGTTAAGATTTCATCATTGCTTTTCTTGATGACTACTACTTCGCCTCGGTATGCAAAATATTTTACAAACTCTACACTTTTGGTGATTTGATAAGACTCAGTTTATGCAGCAGGTAGATATTATTAGCAAGTTACCCTGATTTTTAGAAAACTTTATGAAGTAATGGGATCTAGAAAGGTGCTTGAAAACGTCCGAATTTTCGGCTAAAAATAAATTTAACTTGTTTAGAGACTAGAAAAAATTAATTACATTTAGGAGGATTAACAATAAGATGATAACTATTTGTATTTGCTCCGTAAACGCAGTGCGAGAAGATTTTCTATAGACACATAATCATTTTATCAAAGTGGAAGAATAGAATGGGATTGCTTATCACCACAAAAGGCTAAAGATAGTATGAGAACTCCCTTTGATTTTGTAATAGATGATCCTAATATTGTATCTAGTCTAGCAAATAACCCTTTTTAACCTAATCCAAGAAAGCTTAGTCTCTCTAAAATGAGTAATAATAAAATTATCGACAACCCAGCATTTCAAGGGTTATTATTACAATCGCCCAAAAAGATGTGAACAAAGATGCTTGCTTCAAATGTAAAATTGTCTCCAAATAAAAAAAAGAGATCAGTGTCAAATATGATGAAAGATAACTTACAAAGACTTGATTCCCTATTAGAAGGGGACACTGAACTTGAAAATGCAGATGATAATGAAGTAGACTCATTGATTAAAAGGTAAAAACTTTTGGAAAAGCAATATTTAGCCCTTTGTAATTCAAAAGAGATTCAGTAATTCGAGTAAATGAGCAGTTTTAATTAAACTATGACTAAGAGTAAATTTAACCAGACACCAAACTTTATTAAAAATACATTAAGAGACTAAAATCCATTTGATCAATCAGTTCTTTACACAAATAATTCGCTCCTAAATGACATTGTGACCCCTAAAAATGATTCATTTAATAAGGATTTTTGTTTTCCTAGATAAGAAAATTTATAAAAGATAAATTAATGGCAAAATCCTCTTAGCTATCTGAGACTTGCAAAAGAAGATAGTATTCATGCAGTACAGGGACCTAAAATGATATTTAACAAGAAAAGTAGTAAGCTTGGCATTGATATAAAACTCAGAATAACCAAATAGCAATTAAGCTGAGATTTGGAAATTTGATTCGCTAATGCAATTACAAAAGCTTTTCAGCAAATCTAAATATTGGCCAATCAATAGAACTTGTAATATTTATTTAGTTTGATAATTTTAATCTTAATTTCATTATAAACTTAATCTTATAATTTACAATTTAAATCTCCTCAATACTTTAAACATATTTCACTTATACTATCTAAAAACTAACTAGAAAGAGTGTGTCTTGCTAATGGAGGATTAACTAAATCTCCTTCTTTATCAAACATTTCATCATCAACAATAGTATCTCTTTTATCAGGCCTTTCATTATACGGTATAGAAAGTATTTGGCATTTTTCTATTCCTTGCTAAGTGCAATATCCCTAAATTTCTTAAATCTATTGCTAAGCATAAATATAGCCTAAATCTGCTTTTGTTAATAGCACTACTTCTCTCATCTTATCAATATTTTCTTAGCTTTTCAGTTTGTTCCATTGTTCTCTAGTCTAAGTCACTAAATTCTGTAATCGTTCCAAGAGATTCTCATCTGAAGCTAGTGAAACCATATATACTATCAAATTAGCATTCTTGAGCAAATATTGGTTGTAAAAAGGAAACTTTTTCAAAAATGAGCCACCACTTTCCCAAAGTCCAAATCTTATTGTATAATTCTTTAAGGGTAGATTTGGATTGTGATGCTCCCATTCCAAATAGTTCACACTAATACCCCATGTTTCAGAATATTTATCTGCTTAATTTTCTACTTCATAGTTACAGATCTTTAAAAATTTGACAAGGGAAGACTTTCCTGAATCAGACCCTCCAACAAACGCTATCTTGACCTCAAGCATTTTATAATTAAATTGAAATTTATAATTATAATATAATTAAGTTAATGAGTGAAAATATCACTTCATCCTCAGAATCCTCAGGAGATTTACCTAATACCACTAATCAATTCGATGTTGATAACAATGAGCTCCAGAAATTCAATCACATCATATTGAATTTAATAAGTTAATTAGTGAATGCAACAGTAACCCCTATAAACTATGTCTGGGAAGTTGAATTGCAAAATAAAATTACATTCTTGATAGGAATGATTATTCTCACTGGAGTTGTTTATCCTACAATTGTATACATGGCCAAATATTTCAAGACACTCTGTAATCCCGTAACCTTTCCTTACAAGCATGTTCTAATAACAGGGTGTGGAACAGGGCTTGGAAAGGCTTTGGTATCTGAAATATATATGAAAGGTGCTTACATAACTATGATAGGCAGAGATAAAGACAAATTAGTTAATGTGGCACAATCAGTCGACGTAAGATAATATAATCATTCATCATCAATTTAGGTTAATTATAAAACTCAGCCACTAATAAATGTTATAGTTGCCGATATTACTGAATTAAGGGAAAAAGATATTGAGTATATTATAAGGTAATCAGAACAGATGTATGGACCAATAGAAATGCTAGTCAATTGTGCTGCAATTAGCAAGCCAGCAATGATTTTATTTAGTAGTTTCGATTAGTATAATCATCATATGAATTTGAACTATCTAGGTGCCTTAAAATTCATCTTGCCCATTGCTAAAAGAATGTAACAAAGAAAAGCACAAGGTAGACTTGTTTTAATTGGAGATACTTTAGCTTCTCACTATGCTATTCCTGGTATGGCGCCTTATGCATGTAGTAAGTCTGCTATTGAGTAATTAGCTTTTTAACTCAAAGCAGAATTAGAACCACATGATATTAAAGTTCATTACTTCCTACCTCCTGCTATGGAAACATCTCTACTTGAAGAACAAAAGAAAATGTACCCTTTGGTTACTCGATGCTTAATGAAGAACCAAGTAAGTACTAATCCTGAATAAGCTGCGGCTCTGCTAATGAGAGGGATTTCAATGGGGTAAAATATAGATTTTTAATTTTTTAGAGAATTTATAATTAATGGAACATGGACTGCTGAGATCATGAGCACTCTTAAATGCACTTCGAAATATATTTTCTCAATAATTTGTTCTCCGATCGCAATAGCGATTCGATAGTATTCAGATGGCTAAGTCAAAGCTAGTATGCTTTAATAGAAAGCATTAAAAACTCTTTCACATTGATAAGTACTAATTGAATTGATTCCGATAAAATCTAACTCCCTATATTAGCTAATATAAAAATCGAACCTACTTAATTTATTACAACTCTTCTATATAGAAACAAGATTTCTTTGGGGTTTTGGGGTTTTGGGGTTTTTCTCTAAAAGATTTTTGAAAAT